TGCCCAGCCTAGCAGAAACAGATACATAAGGCATAAGGAAGAAGAATACATAATTAAACATGTCCTCCTGATGCCGAGAAGGAGCAATATCCAGGCAAGACTCAAAGAAGTCCTTGTCTCTCCAAACTATTTGCTCATACAGTGTGAAAACAAGAAATACAAGAGCAGAACCCCAACTGCACATAATCTGAGTACAAATGCAAAGCAGTCAAATCTACAGGACAAAATGTAGAAGGGAAATACTGAATACCTTCTATTTCTCAATAGAATACTAAGCCTCATTTCTTACCTAGCCTTAATCACTGAACGGGTATTGCCTGAGACAAAGCGAGACCTGGGAATAACCTGAGCTGACAAAGGCCAACATCTCCCGCTGCCTCGAGGGCCGTCTCCAGTCAGCCTGATCTCCATCTTGCCACCGGACCCAGATGGCTCTGGAGCAGGAGAGGAGGCTGGTGAATGCACTGCCAAGCCTCACTTAAATGCAATTCACTTGCAAGTCATGGCATCACCTTCCTGACGTCATGGTCCTCTTTGGGAACAAAGGACAAACAACAAGAGCAAAAAGCCCTAGAATGCTGAGCAGCGAGGCGAGGATGAAACGCTGGGCTCAAACCACATGCTGCCATTAAAAAGGAATCAAGTAGAGACGGGCTAATCCACTCCCAGGACCATCCCTGGGGTGGAAAGAGAAGATGGAGGACTCAGAGCCAAGGAGCAATTCTGCACTTTTAAAATGGAGATAACAGATTTATCCACTTCTTATTCACAAGAAATTTTTAAAGCATAAAATTAGAGAACAAAAGTAAAACGCTATATATATATATAAATGCGAAAGCATCACTCCCCATAAGGTACCACAAAACAAAGGCTGGGAATCACTGTCCTAGTCGAATTCATTCACACACATCAAAGACAGAGTTCCATTCAGTGTGATCACACAAACATACAATTTGGAAAAATGAGTCAGGCTCTCAGTAGCTCTGACCATCCCTACCACCATTCATTATGTCCATCACCCTTCCCCCAACTAGGGGTGGGGTGATTATATCATTGTAAAGAAGCATAAATTTTGCTATTAATTTTACTTCTACTAAATGAACTCAGGAAATTAGAAAGCTGTTTCTTAAAACCTTTATAAGGGCAAATAACTCATATATCCCATGGCAATTTTTCAGATATATGTAGGTGTGTGTTTTAAACAGGAAACTGTAAGCTACAGTTGGAATAAACTCCATTCTGCTAAACTAGCATCACTGTTACTTCCTCAGAAAATTCAATTAGTGTAAAATGGGAGTCTTACACAGCGGCCAGGCAAGAGACAAACACCACTATGTCCTTCTTCACCCCACTCCTTCCTCCAAGACCCTAAGTTGTGGCTCTGGACTGTATATAACCAGCACCTATATATTATCTATTTAAAACATCAAGGGTTAGGTGAGGTTTTTAGAGAAGAACTAGGTTTTAAAACAAATAATTTTTTATTCTTTTAAACACTACAAGGACCCAGAAGCATCAATTGACATAAAAATTTTACTTTGAAATAAAAATTTTTATCTTCTATTTTCTATTCCTATTTTCCTTCTATTCTTGATTTTCTTTTCCTTATGGACTTGAAAAAATGCACTGTGCCAACTGGCACAGCTTGGTCCTTGTACTCTGCTTCTTCTAATATTAACTATTAACTCAGAAAGCAAGAAACTTAACTTCAAGCATTTTTTCATTAAATTCCTCATTAAAATCCACTGAGCTCAGTACTAAATATACATTAAAGTATTCAGTGACCTTGACATGAAAGGATTCTAAATCCTTGGCTTCCCTATAGCTGTCTTGGGGGGGGGGAAATATATATATATATATATATATATATATATATATATATATATATATATATATATATATATATATATATATATATATATATATATATATGTATGTTCTTTGTGGCTGCAAATCTATAATGCTACCTTCCAACTATGTCATTAATACAAATTACCATGTTTCCATACATGCAAGCAATTACAACGAGGCCTTAGGGATCAGGAAATAAATTAGATGACAACAAAGCAGCCCCTGGCTAGACCAAACTTGATTATTTGAATGTAGCACAGAAGCCACATCAAAAATTCCAGATTTTTGAAATTCCAGAGTTATTATACCCACCCCCGATACCACAGGGGAAGGGAGTTATCTAGAAAACAAACTAGCAGAGGGACCCACATCCCACTCTCCATCAAGGAGAAAGGCAAGGCAAGGCAGCACTACCAACCGCAGGTATCCTGGAATATTCAGACAAAACCCACGGCCCTATGACCAAAGGCCCATCAGATGCAGATGATCGAAGCCCACTCAAAGGTTACAACTGCTTCAAAACAGAAGCACAAAGCTGACACAGCTGAGTGGAAAGGGCCCTGGATTTAAAATCAGAGAACCTCAGTTCAAATCCTGGTTCTTTCTATCTCCCGCTTGTCAGATTAGAAAAAGTGACATAAAAGGAACAACTGTTGGAGAGGCTGTAGGGAAAAAGGAACATGAATGCACTGTTGGTAGATCTGCAAATTGGTCCAGCCATTCTGTAAAGCAATGTGCAACTAAACTGCTCCAGCCCACAAATCACTAAACTGTGCATTCATACCATTTGATGAAGCTATGCTAGGCCTATACCCCAAAGAAATCAAAGAAAGAGGAAAAGGAATAGAAGAAAAAGGAAAATATACACAAAAATGTTGATACATGTTTTTGTTGTGATGAAAAAGAACTGGAAACTACAGGGGTGCCCATTAATCTGAGAATGGCTAAATAAAGTATGGCATTAAAATATAATGTAATACCATTATATTTTAAGAAATAACAGAAGGTATGGCTTCAGAGAAACCTGGGAAGACTTTTACGAAATGACAACAGAATGAAGTGATCTGAACCAAGAGAACAATTTATACAGTAATAACAACTTGGTACAAATAACTCTGAAAAACTGATCAGTGCAATCACAACTCCAGGGGACCAACGATAAACCACATGACCTGACAGTGAGATAACAGACGCAAGATGCAGAATGAGACATATATATTGGGACACCGCCAATGAAGGAATCTGTTTTACTTGATTATGCATTTGATTATGATTTGATACATATGGTGCAGTGCCAGGCCTGCAGTCAGGAAGAGACTCATTTTCCTGAGTTCAAATCTGGCCTCAGACACTTACTAGCTATGTGACGCTGGGCAAGTCACTTAACTGTTTGTCTCAGTTTCCTCATCTGTAAAATGAGCTGAAGAAGGAAATGGCAAACTAGCTCAGTACCTCTGCCAAGAAAACCCCAAATGAGGTCACAAAGAGTCAAACACAACTGAAAAATAGACTCAACCACAAAATGCATTTTTGTTATGAGGTTTTGTTTTCCTTTTTTCTCTAGTGGGAGATAGACAGGAAATGAGAGGTAAAAGAAAATGACTGCTTGTTAATTGAAAAAAAAAATTAACCATAGCTCTTCATTTATTAGCTGTGAAACCTTTGGTAAGTCACCTCCTCTCTGGGCTTCAAAAACCTCATCTGCAAAATAAGAGACCCAGGCTAGATAACAAACAGATTTCCTTTCCAGTTTTAAATCCATTATGTGAAAACTAACCACAAAAAGCTTGCTTCCTAATAACAATAAGGCTGTATCCCAGCAATTCATTTAGAGAATTTAAGTAATCAAGACTGATAAATCTGTAAAAAGCATTAGTATGCTGTGATTTGAAGCCAGTTTTCTGAAGTTAAAAGTTCTACTCAGACATCTGAGTCAGTCAGAGCTACACAGCTCTAAGGCACATGGTTATCCAAGCAGCCTCCACAAAGAGCAAGCCAACCCTTCAATGCAGCTTAGTTTTATGAACAAAGTAGCTGCCAGGAATGCACTCTTTCCGCAGAGAGTGGTTTGCCCAGATTTCAGTGGTTTGCATAGGTTTCACTCCTTTCCCCTGGAAGTTTCAATAGTCTTCCGACACCTTCGTCTTGGAGCTATGGAAACATTGACACAAAACATCAAAATGACTGAAAATGGAGCAAATGCACAGGCTAAGAGCCTGATTCAATCAATCAGACCCAGGATTTTGATCCTGTTTAATGCCAGGCGATTCAGGGAAAGATGAGGAGTTGAAACTTTTAGGTTAATGGAAAATAGCCTAGGAAATATGTCAGAAAGTGGAAGACAGCCCAAAACTTGCTCAAAGTGAAGCAACCAGCAGCTGCCTTTTATTTTAAAGCCTTAGACACCAGACACTCCAGAGGGGAAGATCTAGTGACTGAGGGGAGCAAAACTGGTCTCACAGTTTCCTTTCTAATGAGAAACACGGCATTATATTATCAAGCAAGACAGATCCCCTGAGCCCCATGCTTTATGTTGATGAAAGAAAGCAGTTGAAAATAATTTTCTTCTACTGTACAGAAGCTACTGTCTCCCTCATCATATTCTAAGGAGCTTCTTATCCTGGAAAACAAAAAAATTCTTAGCGCAAAAGATATCCAGAAGTTCTTGTTGCAACCCACTGAGAGACATCTTCCACTCTGTTTGGGCTCCTGCAATTGTTTCACGATCCCTGCATGTCAGCAGGTAAACTTGCCCACTTTCTCAACTGCCTACACGTCTCCCATATTTAAAGCTATGCCTTGCTTTAACTGACCCCTCCAATGGCCAGAATAACCTATCTTCAAAGCCATCTTTCTTCAGCTATAGCAGAGACAGGATATCTAAAACAAATGGCTGGCTGCCTTTTGTCCTGACTTCTTAAATTAAAGAATACCTTGGCTCTTAATATCTCACACTCCAAATCCCTTCATCCTCCCTGACCTCAGCTCTATGTGATGGATATGAATCCAACAGACTCTGAAGAGAAGCCTGTTGGAAATTTCTTAGGGCTGTGCCTTTTGCCTGTCAAACAGCATGAAGAAATACACATACTGAATGCATTAACTTCATACTGTACAGTATACATGAGTAAGAAATAGGAAATACTTACTGCGAGGAACAACATGCAGTACATGGAAAATGAAGAATGCCCAGAATAAAATGATAATCTGGAAGAAAAAGGAGATGAGAAAGAATGACATTAACTTCCTTTCTTCTACATTAATTCAGACAAATAGTTACCAAAATTTTCACAGCCAGAAACAAATGGAAATGGTGGGGGGGTTATTTTTTGGGGGGGTTGTTTGCTTGTTTGTTTAAACTGGGAAGTCCATGTTATTTCCCTTGTCTGATTAAAGAGTCAGTGTAACCTTGGGAAAATCACTTCTGAGACTCCAGTTTCCTCATTTGTAAAGATTAAACTATCGGATCTTCCTTTTAGCTCTGGAAAAACTCTGATAAGTATGTTTGTATCAACTTCCTTAAAGATTAAGATAGCAAGTTCTCCAAATCACAGACTAAAAAAAAAAACCATTTCTGTATTTCTCTCTGACTCTAAAACTGGTCAGAAAAAAAAGCATACTAATTCCTTTCTGCATATTTAACACTGACCTTAAATGAAGAAAACTAAATCAACCTCACTAGCAGAAGAAACATCTATCAGGGTCTGACCCCTGAGACTGGATATAGACATTGCACCACAAGGCTGCAGGGACCTGGGACCAACTTCTAAAAGCAAGCAATACAGCCAGCTGAGCTGCAGGGACAGCTGGGGGGCCGCTTGGTTAAAAGTAAACTGACAAGGCTCACTGGAAAGCCAAGTGCTACAACCACCCTATAAAGGATTGGAACATATTTGTCTTTTCTGTACATGTAATTTGGTTCTTTGTCTTCCAGAGAAAGATACATTTTATGATTTGTTTAAAGACAAAATGGAAAAATAATGGCAAAGTGAAATGGTAGCAAAGACTGTACCGATTTTAAATACAGAAAGAAGACATGTGATTATGCATCCTGACTGTCCTACGGGTACTGACCAGTCCATAATTCTCCCTTGTACCACACCAAGAGCCCAAGAATTCAGAATCCTGGCACTTAGTTGCCTTGTGGACTATGAGAGAAACATGATTGGGCTAAGAATCTATACAGGAAACTTCTCAACTGGAATTGTGGCCCCAACAGTTCACAGCACACTATGCTCCACTGTCTCAGAGAAAACATCATCTAAATAAACTATCACACAAAGTGTCTAAAATTTCATAGACAGATAAATCTTAGAAATGAAACATTTTAGCAGAGAAACAATGCAAAGATTTTTTCCCATTTACCCACTTCTAACTTTAGCTGAATTGATTTATGCATAAACACTTTTTTATGTAATAAAAATGGGCCATTTTATCTCCTGTGACCCTCTCTCTTAATGTGTCATAAACTCTTTGCCTATTTGTAAGTCTGACAGATAATTTCTTCCTTGCACCTCTAATTTGTGTATGATGTCTCCCTTTATTTCTAAGTCATACAATCATTTGGACCTTGTCTTGGTATACGGTATGAACAAATGGTCTATAAGTAATTTCTGCTTCCCAGTTTTCACAAGGTTTTCTTGAAAAATGGGCTCTCTTAGGTTGTTTCTATATATTGTATATCTAATCTATTCCACTGATAAATTTGTTTCTTAACCAAAACCAAATTGTTGATGATTACTACTGTGTAGTATATTACAAGATCTGATACAGATGCTAAGCCACTTTCCTTTCCATTATTTTTTCATTAAATCCTTCAATATTTATTATTGATCTTTTCTTCTTCCATGAATTTTGTCATTTTGTTTTCTGGTTCTATGAAGTAATCCTCTGGTAGTTTGGGTATGGAATTGAATTAGTAAATTAATTTAAGAGTATGTCACTTTTATTATATTGACTCAGATTATCCATTGTTATTTTTATAATTATTTCACTCTGTATTTGCACAGAGAATGTTTGCTAATCGTGTTCACGGGCAATTGTGTTCACACACTCTGTGTGTGTGTGTATGTGTGTGTGTGTCTTGGCAGGTATTTTATACTTTATGGTTATTTTAAATAGAATTACTATATCATCTTCCACTGGATTTTGATGTTAATATACAGAAATGCTGATAATATATGTGCTGCAACTTTGCGGGAGTTTGTTTCACTTGTTTTTTTCACTGATTCTCTAAGGTCTTCTAACATAAAATAAAAACCCAACGTGTCATCTGCAAAATTTTGTCATTTAATTTCATCTTTGCCTATGCTTATTCCAAAATAAGGGTTTTTTTAAGGAGAGTGAGGCCTAAGCATGTTTGTACACAGCTGGGAAACTTAAGAGACTGAAACTTAGAGAGCAGAAAGGATAGGGCAGTATGCTGGAAGAAACACGATGGAATGGATTCACTTGTGCATGTAGAGGGGTTTGCTTTGGTATGGAGAAGGACCTCTTCATATGGAGTAAAGAAACATAAACTTTTGATGGAAGATATTATTATTAGTTAATTATTACTGATATATATTTATAATTCTATATTACTATATACTGAATAAAACCTCTTAATGCAAGTGGAATACTACTCCAACAAATCTGCTGTGAAATGGTCAGCCTGAAAACAAACGCAAAAATGGTTTTGTTTGGACCGATACAGGCCACAGGCTACCTGATCAGGAAACAAAACTTAGGAGATTTGAAACCAACAAACACATTCCAACAAATGCAAAGAGGCAAGAATGCCTTTTTTTTTTTTGAACCACACTCTCTAATCAAGGGCTGCAGAATTTCATGAAGTCAAAAGAATAACTGTACCAAAAAGTCTCATGTGGATTGTAAGAAATGTCACAAGTGAGACTGACAAGCAAATTTTTCAAGTTACTAATGAAACATTTTATCCTGTTATTAACTATACTCATTGTCAAGGGTTGGGTGGTTGTCCTTTCTCCTCCATTGGAGTCACAGTGTAAAAACTGTTTTCTTTGCTCTGCTTCTTTTACTCTGTGTCAATTCGGAAAGATCTTTCCATGCTTTTCTAGATTCACTGATATGCATTATTTCTTACAACACAGTAATATTTCATTATATTCATGTACCACAATTTAAGCCACTCTCTAACCAACAGGTATCTTACTTTATTGCCATTTCTTTGCTACTAAGTAGACAAAGTTCCACCATAAATATTTTGGCATAAATGAGGACTTTCTTCTTTACGACCTCCCTTTGGGTCTAAGCCTAGTAATTCGATCTCTGGATCAAAAAGGAATGAACATTTAAGTTACTATATTTACCTGATTCCAAAAATGATTGTACTGCTTCACAGTTCCACCAACAATGCACTAGTGTACCTATTTTATCATAACCCATCCAACATTGACTGTTCCCATCTTTGTCACCTTTGCCATTTTGCTAGGTGTAAAATAAAACCTCAGGGTTGTTTTGATTGGCATTTTTTCTTAGCATTCATATTATAGGGTTATTAATAGTTTAATTTTTAGAGTAACAGTTTAATTTTAATGTAATGAATAAGCAATTCTTTTGAGAACTGTTTATTCACATCCTTTAATCACATATCTCTTAGGGAATGGTTTTTGGTTTTGATGTAGAGACATTTTGGATACCAAACACTTAAGAAATGTGATACAAAAATGTTTTATCATTTGTTCACTTCCCTTCTTAACCTAGATGCATTAGGTGTTTTGGGGTGGGTGTGTGTGTGTGTGTGTGTGTGTGTGTGTGTGTGTGTGTGTGTGTGTAGAAACTTTTCAATTTCATGGTAAGGGCTGTTAGGTGGCACAGTGAATACAGCAGATCACTAGGCCTAGATTCAAAAAGACCTGAGTTCAAATTCCACCTTGGATGCTACTAGGTGTGTGATTTTGGGCAACTGTCTTAGTTTCCTCATTTGCAAAATGGAGATATAATAACTGCACTTATTTCCCAAACAGTTGGATCAAATGAGGTAACATTTATAAAATGCAAAGTGGCTATATAAATGATAGCTGCTATTAATATTATCACATAATCAAAATTACCTACATAATCTTTTGTAATTGCTTATATCCCTTATGTGAAATGGTACTACATTTAATATGCATATCAGAATACATTTAGAACGTATTGAAGAATATGGTATAAGGTGCTAGTCTTGGCCTAATTTCTGCCAGCCTGCTTATAAGTTTTCCCAGACATTTTTAACATAGTTCTTTACTAAGCAATTCATGCTTTAAGGTTTACTGAACACTTGTTTACTGAGTTCCATTGTTTGTGATTCTCCCTTTCTAGTCTGTTTTAATGATTTAATTCTCTAACTTTTAACCAATACTAAATGGTTCTGATGACTGCTGCTTCATGATACAGACTTACCTTATTCTAGTAATTCTAGTCATTCTCCAAATGACTTATTATTTTATCAAGTTCTGTAAAGTATCCCTTTGATAATTTGATTAGCTAGTATAAAATTATAGATTATACTGGCATGTCCGAATCATGAGTACCAAGTACTCCACCAGTGACTGGTCCTTTATTTCATTAAAGAGCACCTTGCAATTGAATCTATACAAGTGTTTTATACAAAAATGGGGTTACGGACAGTTAGTGGTTATAAATTACATAACATATAGGGCAATTCTTAACACCCTGTGCCTTCTTTCCCACCTCTCCACCACTACAATCACAGAGGAAGTAGAAGGGAGCCAAAACGGACAAGTGGACATTTTCTATTTGCTTGTTTGTTTCATTTCTCTTTTACCACAAGTAAAGAATTCACCCAGAGGCAAGTCTACTAGTGATGAGCCACTGTGTATTGTACTCAAATGTTCTCCAGTACGGTAAAACTTAACAGAGCTGGCATCCCACTTGTGGTGAGCATGACAGCGCTTCCAATCTTCAGAGAGATATCACGTCCTACCTAACACCCACCAATTAAGAAGCACAAAGATCTTTTTCAGGTAATATACTTAAAGCACAGTTTATACAGTCAGATTTTATTACAATTTTTTTTTAAGAAACAGGCTACCAAACCAAATAAATAATAATCAAATGATTACTTACTGGTCATCTCAGTAAGATCATAAAATTTCTCTAAGCCTTAGAATACCCATGCTATACAACAAAGATACAATTATGCTTTCTATCACTTACCACAAAAAAAATGGGATTCTAGGCCC